ATAAACTACTTTAGAAAAAAATAGGTACTATAAAAGGTTAGATGCCTACCAAGCACCTGCTTGTAGCCAGGAGTGACTCTGATGTGCTATGCCTCAATTTCCCCTCTTAGGATTCCTTAATGATCTCTACACACCTGGATTACTATTGTAGATATGACTTAGCCTACTGGCCAAGTCAGAAACCAGCTCAAACCAATCTAGGGTTAAAAATAGATCAAACTAAGATCTCTAAATGAACAAAAAAGTTCTTTAACTCTTTATAGGCTTCTCTTTGGTCCTCCATCTAGGTCTCCTTTGAGTCCTTCCCTTTGTTCTGATGCTACACGTTCTCAGGCTAGTTCCCCTGAAGCACGATTCTCTTGTATGGGACAAGGCCTATCATAGAAATTTTTGCTCCTTGTAGTTCCATTCCTCCCTGGGTCCCCAGTCTCGTTCCACCAGAGTACCTAGTCTCTTACAGCCCCCAGACTGAGCTCTCTCAGCTCTTTTAGACTTCTTAAGGTATCTGCTAATCCCTCTCCCACCGGGCCTATCCCTCAGGCTATGTCTGCACTGCAGGCTTCTTGCACAAGAACATTTTATGGAAGAGATCTTCCGCAAAAACTTCTTGAGCAAGAGCGTGTCCACACTGTCATGTGTTTTTGCGCAAGAGATGTGCTTTTGCACAAGAGAGCATCCACACTGCCATAGACGCTCTTGCACAAGAAAGCTCTGATGGCCATTCACAGAATTGTCATCAGAGCACCTGTGCTTTTTCTGATAGGGGTTTCTTGTGCAAGAAACACCTGTTGTCTGTCCACACATGCCTTTTTGCGCAAGAGTTCTTATGCAAAAAGTCTTATTCCTCATAGAAAGAGGAATAACTCTTGTGCAAAAAAAACCCTGTCTTCTGATGATCTACTGTACTTTTCTTGTGCAAAAATGCACTTATAGTGTGGACTCTCGGTGAGTTTTTGCACAAAAATGGCCGTTTTTGTGCAAAAACTCTGCAGTGAAGACATAGCCCCGATGAGGAAGCAGCTAATTATTTATGACAAGATGGCGCTATACCCATCTCCCCCCAACAATGACCGATCACTCTATGATAGGCAAGTTGCTGGAATATTGCACATATTCTCTCTCTCTCTCTCTCTCTCTCTCACACACACACACACATTTTACATTTAAATTTGGGGAAATCTAGTGCATATGAATCAGGTTTTACTTGTTGCTGAATATCGTGCTCAATTTGGTACTTATTCTTTCACTGTTCATTTTTAATCTACACTGGCTTTATGTGTACTTGAGGTGACTCTTCAGGGTCTTTCAATTAACCTTTATTACCTTGGAAACAGGCAGTTTAATTTGTTTAATCACTTTTCAAAATCTCATGATGAGTGTTCAGTGTATTGAGACAGCTACCTTAAAAATAATTCAGTCATATTAAAAATCAGTTATTTAAAGAAAAATAACTCACCTTTTTAATCTGAAGACTCAGAGAGCCCTCAAACTGTTTTAAAATGAATAAAGGACTGAAAAGCATGACAGCTGTGGCATTAATAATTTTGCTTTGCAAGTTTACACTAGCAGAAGCAGCAGCTTTGATTCAATATCTGAATCAAAGTAGTATCATCCATTTTGCTACCATTCTGCCAAATCATAATAGTCTCTCAAAAAACAAAAAGGAAATACTACCAAAGTGCTGCAAAGCAAAATATCAAATTATTCCAAATTCAAACACCATTATTTGACCTATGTAAAGTTAATTTTCACTGTGTTAAAACGCAGGACTGCAATTTCCAATGTAATATATGTAAAAATGGAAACACTGATCTACTTAGGAAATACATGGCTCATTTCAAGACGACCTCAACTCTCTTTACTTAACAGAACTATTAAAGGTCTTCAACATGTTCTGTGTGGCCAGACACTTGCAACCACATGGATCTCCATTGACTGCAATGTATCTAAAGGCTGGTGCAATGTCTCACCAGTGCAGGATTAGAGGCCTAATGTAACATAGGTTGCAAAATTCTTCCCTCATATTTTCCTGTGTCTATGTCTAAATAAGGTAGAATCATTTATTTAGCAAGTACACCCCAGCAGACTAAGTTACTGAACTGCTGGTATTCTACCATTCTCCCAACAGCAGGTGCACACACATTCTACATTCTCTTAATTGCCTCCTTCAGCAGTGCCATGTTTGGAACGCAATTGTTACTCTTTGAATAAGTTCTCCCAAGCCTGCCATCTGAAACAGACACATCTGCAGTAAATTTTGGGAGAGAAAGATATCCAGTGCCCATGCAACATTAGCCAACATTCTCCAGGCATGAAGGCATTTATAACAGGAATTTGAGTGGCAAATAAGTTATTCCACAGGTTGCACCCCCCAAAACTGGAATTGTCTGGTCTGGCCTCAGTGCTGCAAGCTGTTCGGAGCTGCTAGGGGCTGGTGCCAGCTTCAGTCCCACTTCTGCAGGCTGCTGGGACCAGAGAATTCGGCTCCCATGACTGAGTGGGGGCAGGAGCCTTGAGTGGTAACCTGGTGCTTTCCCCATACTCCACCCCCACTCACAGTAACCAAATCTTGGGAGTCTATTCAGTAAGTCTGGCTGGTTTTTCTGTTTGAAAACTGGGCAGCTGGCTGCCCTATATTTAACTGCGATGCAGCCTGAGCTCTAGGACTCTTCCTCCTTACAGGGCAGTAGAGCCCAGGCTACACTGCAACAGACTCTTAGCCTGAGTGAGCTGGTACAGTCCAGATGCAGGTTTTTAATTGCAATGTATAATATCCAGTGACATTTTATTTTAATCATAATATTGTTTTGATAAATAGCTTGATTTTTAACTAAATGAAATACTGCACCTTATTAATGTGTGTTTAGACTAAGTAATTTATTAAGAGTAAATTAAGGGCTGATGAGAAACATAATTCTTTTAACTATAGATAACAAGGAACCAGTATGGCAGTGCATGCATATATAATTAAATGTTTCATTCAATCTCAAACATTTTCCCTTGACTTTCCAATTTGCCAAAAATTGTGAACAAAGCTGGTTTGGGATTCATCCGAAACATAATTTTTTCTTAGCTTTGGAACTGCCAGCAAAACAATAAATGAATAATTTGCACAGCTCTAGTCAAGACTTCATCTATGCACGTATGTGAACAACTACTATGCAGGCAATGCATTCTTCAAAGTCCCCATTATGTTACATCTGGGCTACCTATTTTCTACTCCCCAGCAGACAGCATTAAACATAGGCATAGGCAGAAACTAGTAAAAAAATCATTGTTTTCCAGAGGTGTAGATGTATAAATAACACCAAATTGATTGTAGCATATAATCCCAATAAAATGCCTCTGTTTTAGACTTTCAGTCCCAGCCTCACAGGAGTCATGAGGGTCACTCATAGGGAAGTTCATTTATAGTTCTAGCTTCTGTTATTCATAAAATCTGCCTACTTTCCTTTGCCAGCAATCAATTTCTGTCTTCTACCTCCAATTCTGAGACATGTTGTGAAAGGGCAATGTACTACTGCTAGTTAACCAACTTTGTTTCTTCATTACACTACTTTGATTCTTCTAGATTCATGCCTGCATAGGTTTGAAAGGGAAGAGTCAGCAAGGTCAGGTACATGGTAACAATTCAATTGCTTTCAGGATTCGGTTGATCTCTATTCCTAGACAGAGCTCCAGTTTAAGAAAGCACATGCTTTCCCTGCTTCGTGAAAACTCTTAAGCACAATGTGCAACATTTAAGTACATGCTAAAGTGCCTTTCTGAAAAGGCTACTAAAGGCACCATTCAGGGATTATTATTGGTTTTTGTGTGATTCTTTAATCATCTTCTTGGTTCACTAAATGTAAATAATATTGCCTTTCTTTTTCATTGAGATAGGAATAATTTGGGAGAAGAAGATCATAATTTATAAATTCTATTAAGACTCCCTGAAGAATCATCCTAAAGAAAAGAAGACAATAAAGAGAAAACAAATGTGATTTGAATAATAGGAAATATTTATTATTACTGAAGAATTTCTGCATCTAAAAAAGTGACACCACATTGTATTTTGCATGTAAGAAGGTTATAGAATATATTAGATTTGAAGAAAAAATAATTTGATAAGAAGCACTGTGCAGCTTTAAGCCATATAACTCTCATTTGGGAGTAAATATGAAAAATAGCAGAACAATTGGGGAAAAAACATAAAAGGTGAATTGAAATTTCATTGCAGTGTCTTTCAAATATATAGACATTAGTTGAGTAGATCAAATTGGATTGTAGTGCAATTTTATTCTAGCTTCCCATTCTTACATTGCAAAGGCTTCAATAATAAAATAAAATCCCCATGGGATCTTGTTAAAGGGTGCGTGCCCTGCACTGGCCCATCTAGGGCAAAACCCAGGCCAGGAGCAAGGGCTGGAAGCAAAGACCCAGCCAAGGCAGTTCTGACTAATGAGGGCCCAGCTGGGGGCTATTTAAAGGCGAGCAGCTCCCTGCTTGGGGGGAATGCAGTTAGGAGCTGGCAAAGCAGGAAGCTCCCAGGAGTTTGAAGAGTGCTGGGGCAGGAAGGCAGGGCTTGGGGAGCTCTGGCCAAGCAAGCTCCCAGGCTATAGGGCCTGAAGTGGGGCCTGTGGTGAGGAGGGCCGTAGAGAGGCAGCCGTGGTAAGTGGGGGGGTAGCAGGTCCACACCCTAAGCTGGTGATGAGCGGCCCTTACAGACTGCAGTTTGCCCTGAGATGGGGACTAGTTGAAGACTGGTAGTGGGGTCACTGAGGCAGGGCGGTGAGTAAATCTCCCACAGACCTGTAAAAGAGACTGCTGATTTTAAGGTTAATTTAAGGACTCTAAAAAACAAAAGGAAGCTAATTTTTACTGTGAGATGTTTACACAGAGCTAACTTTACCAAAGTGAGATACTGAATCAACTGAATAAAAATGTACCCATTTTGAAACTGTCAAAGCCACACATATACACTTTCTCTTCAAAGACTCAGAGGGGTGAATTGGACTTACCATCATGTTTGAAAGCCTCTGAAAAGTGATAGAGGTTTGTTGGTGAGTGATAGTGTTGTGCTGTCCCTCTCCAGCCTGGCGAGAATATGCTTCCTAATGAAGAGCTGCTCAATCGTGGCCTGTTCTTTGAATTAAACAGTGCTGAAGATGAACTAGCAGATTTAATTCTTAGGATAGCAGCATATGATGTCGGGAGGCTTGGAACAGCTTCTGAATATTCTGTAAAAGAAGCAATAAAGTTCTGAGAAGGAGATGAGATTGACACAAGAAATAAGAGAATAGAAGATACATTTTTTTTGCCTAAATGATATTTTAGTCAGGAAATGCAAAAGTGAGATGAAAAAGAGAGGAAATTAATAAGTTCCTTAAAATAAATCAATATACAGCAGAGTTTTGACCCTTAAAAGGGAGAAATTCCATACTCCATGAAGTCCACCGAGGACCTTCATATTACTGTCAATTTTAGGTGGAAAGTATTTTGATACTATGGGGATGGCTGGCACTGTTAAACCATAGAAAGAGCAGCCCTCCTGTAGTGATATCAGACTTCATGGCTGCGTCTAGACTGGCATGATTTTGCGCAAATACTTTTAACAGAAAAGTTTTTCCATTAAAAGTATTTGCACAAGAGAGCGTCTATACTGGCATGTGCTTTTGTGCAAAATATGTGCTTTTGCGCAAAAGCATCCGTGCCAGTGTAGACGCTCTCTTGTGCAAGAAAGCTCTGATGGCCATTTTTGCCAACGGGCTTTTTTTGCGCAAGAAATTAACGTGGCTGTCTACACTGGCCCTCTTGCACAGGAATACCTGCGCAAGAGGACTTATCCCTAAGCGGGAGCATCGGAGTATTTGCGCAAGAACCACTGATTTTGTACATTACAAAGTCAGTGTTCTTGCGCAAATATTCGCGGCCAGTGTAAACAGGCGGTAAGATTTTGTGCAAAATCATGCCACTCTAGATGCACCCCATAAGTCTATGGTGCAGCTATCAATTAGCTCACTGGGATGCCCTTCTCATTGCTTTCTTCATCACCGAGCCCCTATTGTCTAAACATATTTATCCTCCCTCCTTGGGCTTAATTTTTAGAAGTGGCCCAGAAATACTGAACTATATGAATCATCTTTCTGACTTCAACACTACCGTAGAGATGAAGAGAGCTAATTGAAGCTCAATTAAATCATTGGGAGTCTTCCACACACAACAGCTAGAGAATAACCTATTATACAGATGGAAAGCCAACAGGTGGAACTGAATCTAGGACCTCTAAAGTTTAATGCAAGATCCTCTACCACATGAGCTAAAAGCCAGCTGGCTATCAGCTAAGTCTACATCTAGACTGCAGGCTTCTTTCAGAAGAAGCTTTTCCAGAAGAGAAACTCTTATGGTTGCACTGTATTTTGATTTAAAATTATAGAAATGCGTCTTTTGTTTTATATTTACACAGTATATGACAGTGAACTCTGAGATGTTGCAGTTTTTGAAGAAAGGGATTATATGCCTTGTCAGTTCAATGCTTAGTGTCCATGTGGAGGTGTTAAAAGATCTCTGATATGTTGCTGTTACTTTTGAGGTAAACACCTGACAAAAGCAGATCAAGTTTATCTGAAAATAGCCATCTCCTCCTAAGCAAACTGCTCAAGAGATAAAAATGTCCTAGAGTCTCTTTTAAAACAGATTTAAACACAAGTTTTGGCATGTGTATGTGTAAGGTAATATAGAAAGCATACATAAGAAGAATTCTGCCCTGAGGTGATTTCTTATTTTGGTCTCAGAAGGCATATATTTCATAAACTAATGCATTTTCTTGTTTTATAACTATCTTTCCTGACCCATAAAGAAGGGAAAATAGAACTATGTCATGATACAGTGATGAAAAATTAAAATGAAGAATGGGATTACTGCTTATAGGTCTTCTTGCAATACAAAACTGAACTACTAATAGAAATATGATATGGTTTTCTTTACAAAAAGTATATTTCATTTTGTCTCGATCTATTCCTTAACATATGCTAACAAGATCTAGGCTGTCCCAAAAGGTGTAGATGTTAGATTGCTCCATATTTCTATATGCAACTGGAGGGTTGGCAAAAACAATCCTTGAAATGTCTCTCTTGTTATAGCCTAAAATCATTAACCCTTTGGAAACGAAAACTGATAGGGTCAGCAGTTCCTATAATTGTAAACCAGATTCAGCTGCTCCATAATTAAAACTGAAAGCATTTGCTCATTTTAGGACAAGTTTTCAACAATCTTCCTGAAATTTCACCTTACAGAACTTTTCCATGGTAGAATTTTCCTAGGACATTTGAGGAGAACAAGAAAAGAAGTTTTACGGTTACCTGGCAATAGTCTGCACAATCAAAATCACTGTTATTTCAAAATACACTAGGCAGTTATTTTGAAATAACAAGGGTTATATCTACACTTGCTCCCTATCTTGAGATAGGGATGCAAATGTAGTGTACTGAAATTGCTAATGAAGTGCAGGATTTAAATATCCCGTGTTTAATTAGCATAATTGCATCTGGTCACCATTTTGAAATCGCATTATTGTGAAATAAAAGCCCCGTGCAGCAGTGTTACTTGAGAGAAAACCCTTCTCTCGAAATAACCCTTCTCGCGAAATAATTGCATGAGGTGTAACAGTTATTTCGAGAGAAGGGTTTTCTCTCAAGTAACACTGCTGCACGGGGCTTTTATTTCACAATAATGCGATTTCAAAATGGTGACCAGATGCAATTATGCTAATTAAACACGGGATATTTAAATCCTGCACTTCATTAGCAATTTCAGTACACTACATTTGCATCCCTATCTCGAGATAGGGAGCAAGTGTAGACGTACCCAAGTGGACCATCGACTCTACTACGGGATGGTATTTCAAAATAATAACTCCTGCTTTCCATGATGAATAACGCTAATTTCCAAGTAATAACTCCTTAAATAATCAATCATGCCTTTTCCCAGCCGAGGAAGGAAACAGGATCTGGAATCTACTACACCCAGATTAGGAATGAAGAAGGAGCTGAAAAACTGACCAGCTTTTTTACACAGGACGAAACTACTTTCAGGGCCTGTAAGTTGACACCGAAGGCCAGTTTCTGCAGCCCTTTCAATAAGGACTTCAGAAATACACTTCTCCTAATAAGTACATTTATATTAATTGTTAAAACAAATAAGAAAATGCTATCATTATAATAAATATTCTTTGGCAAGAAACAAATTACTTGTAGGAACAGATCAACAATCATAGAATACTAGAACTGGACGGGAACTCAAGAGATCATCAAGTCCAGTCCCTTGCCCTCACAGCAGGACCAAGCACCGTCTAGATCATCCCTAATAGATGGCTGTCAAACCTCCTGATAATATCTCCAGAGATAGAGATTCTACAACCTCCTTACGCAATTCATTCCAGTGTTTAACCACCCTGACAGTTAGGAAGTTTTTCCTAATGCCCAACCTAAACCTTCCTTGCTGCAGTTTAAGTTCATTGCTTCTTGTCCTATCATCCCCCCCCCCCCCCCCTGCACCTACCACCACTGCTGCT